ACAAGGGTTGGAACCCCACTGATGGCGGCTAACAAGCCAGAAATTTCCATGCCGGTCTCCCTTTGCTTCGTCGGATCCATTTCATATATATGATATCTTCATATCACAAATATACCACTTAAGTTTAACAAATTCTGAATTTTGTTGTTGTTTAGGCGCCTACCTTGTTGAATCGGCCGCAGCGCACGATCGCATGGCGGCTGCCAAGAAAACATTCAACGAAAACGTTACTAAGGGTCTCCTCCAGGTTTTGAAGGACTTTAGAGACAAGGATCTCGTTGACGCCTTGGTAAGATATTATTCAATAGTATTGTTTTCACTTGACGTACATATAAACATAAATGATCAGAAAATGCGTGTTATTATTTGACGTTTCACTTGCACCTTTGCAATTGTAAAGAGCAGATTTATCTGCAGGCCGGGTGAAAGTAAAATTATTATTCAATTATATAAAGACTCAAAGTAATCTTCCATATTATAACTACTCTTATAGAGACAAAAAGACGAGATGGAGAAGGCACGATTGGATTTGGACTCCGCCAAAGCCAAGCTGAAGAGTGTTAAATCCGAAGAAAACAAAGCCAAGGTAAAATCACCCTGACAGTTTTTGAAAACCCGTCTTTTTATGCACACCTATATGCTCAATGTACTGCTTTGTTCACCGATATCGTCACTCATGAATATTCACTGTTCCATCTCTTCTTATAACAGTGGCAAGCTGAAGTGTCGAAATTCCAGGCTACCTACAACAAGGAACAGGGTGAAACCACTACGATGCTACGGGAGACACATGATGCTTTTGTACGTACTTTTTTTTAACCGAGTCGCGGCTTCTCTGAGTTGAGGTGTGCTTAAGGGAAACGTCTATTCATTAGGTTGAACATTTTCTCTCTTTTCTTGATTTTGCATACCCCTATGCGTACCAGAATCAGGAAACGTTTTATAGTAATTTAAACACCGGTCAGATGTCACGCAAATCTCTTAACTAAATACCGTGACCCTGAAGAACCAATGAACCGGACAAAGATCCGAATTGTTCATGATTCTAAACTGCATTCAGGGTGTGCGTGTCCATATCGACAGCACATTTATCCCCTCACTCTAGCGAATTGGGAGTTCACGTTGTCGGCAGAGGCACCGTCTGGTCAGTGCATTGCAATTAGTAGTGACCATTTGCAGTCCTGTGCGCTTAGATTGCCGGCTTTCAGGCGGCTGATTGAGGTGCCGATTTAAAAGTCCTCCGCCCCTAGGCAATCATCCGTTTACCCATTGTCTCATCATTTTGCGTCCATTCTGACTGGATCATTGGTGCTTCCGGGGCCGGAAGTTGGGACGCAGTCAAAAGACGTACTGCTGCCAGAGCGCGTAGGCATTTGCACCCAGCATATAAAATGCACACACATCTTTTTTGACGGCAGGCCAGCGCGTTTGCACCAGGCAGGGTCATACTGAGCCTGCATCCTTGTGTTCTGCTTGAGGTCGTTGTTTCTCGTGTCGCCCTGAAAGCTTGCTCTGTCTCTCACAATCATAATGGTCGTGAGCATCATAGACACAGCTGGAAAGAGGTTGATCACGTTTCTCAATAACCCGCCAAAACTGAGGAGGTGACAAGCACCGTATGGCCCTAGAGCGTCACTTTCTTAAACAGTAATTGTCTTGAAGGGCATATTTTCGGGGAGCATATTCAACCTTTTTAGACGCAGTTCAATTCCCCTGCATTTGAGTCGATTTCAATAATTGCGTTTTCTTCTCATCGACCAGTTAAAGCTACGCCTTGAAGTACCGACTGATTTCCGCATCAGACGTTCCTTGGGCATTGTAATTCAGAAAGACCTGTTGAGTTGTTCTTCATTCACGAGATTTACTCGGCTAGCTGACTAAAGGTCGTCCTGGGACTTGTTTACCTCCGATGGTCTGGCTTTGCTTTGGCCATCTTCAAAATTTGCTCAATTGCTGGAGAAGGTCCGGAACCGTTGGGTGGGCTGTGAGTGACAGATGCCCATTACTTCTGGGAAACTCTGCCTATGACGCTGCGTGGCTAGTAGCGACTATTAGAGACTAGGATGACTCCCTACAGCTCACTAAGTGCTTTCAGCCAGACATGCCTCATCCCAGGTCCGGATGACTTTGGATTCCTTCCTGCATTAATGTATGATAGTAGGGAATTTTTATCGATCTAGTTAAGGAACGATAATTTCCCTTAGTGTCCTGGAACTCACTATAGAACTCACACATGCAGTCGCATAGCGATTTGTAGAATATGCTGAAGTGGAACAGACAGAGACAAGGGAATTGCAATTTCTCGCTTATTAGCCGTCTGATATTATTATTACAATCAGTTTCAGATCGTCTTTGAATGTTCGGCGGATATTTCATGATTTTCCATCCTTAAAGCTTTTGATAAAGGTAGATGTTACTCGACATATATATTTTTAAATCGAAACCTTCAGAATAAGACAGTTCTAACAAGTATTTACCGAAAAGTGAATTTTGTGATACCAGTGTTTATGAAGATGGCCGTTCGGCTCATGCCAGTTCGGTCATCGATTTCGACGACATCCGCCGCAAATTTCAGCAAGCTGAAGGTAAACGCGGTGTCTGATGCTAAATTTGAGTGGAAGTAGACTCACACCGGATCTACCTCACTCTCTCACCACTTCCACATCTGTATTCGATGTAAAGAAAAAATTCGAGAAGACCGCTGATGGGGGAGGGTGAAGACGGTGTGCGCGAACACACTCCAACGCGCGCCACCGTGTGCGGGAGTGCCATAAACGCTACATTAAAAAGAAACCACTGCAGCCTGACGCTCAGCCCGCAGACAGCCACTACAGACAACAAGATACACCGGGCTGACCACAGTGTCAGTTGGCAACCCTCGAAACCGCGGCTTTTAGCTCACCGTGATAGCTTCAGCATTCAGACAACCAGGGAATCATCAGCCACTTCGCGCTCACTGGGCTGATGGTGTATCTGATAAGTGCGTCAGTTGGCAGGGCTAAACAGGAAATAAGCTGGAGATGAGCGTTCTAAAGCAGGTTGCGCTAGAGAAAAAGAAGAGAGAGAGAGAGAAA